CCCATTTATTTACAATAACTGATGTGCGCAGTGTAGCCATGGAGCTTGCAAATAATAGACTCCGAGATAGTTGTAAAGGCCGGCTCAGCTCTGTGGTGAATAAAGACCAGTACAAAGACCAGGGAATGGTGGACTCATTTTTGGGAGCCATGTCTGTGGTTTCAGCATTTGGTGCTTGTACGTTGTACGGAAGTAATTTTCCAAAATTGAGCATGGTTGAAGGGGAGGAAAAGAAATGACAAAGACATAGCACTAGGCATTGCAAGTAAATGAAAAGCAACACTAACCTTCCACAATTTTATCTCACAACGTCCCAAAGAGATTTTAGCAGTCTTTAGGAATTCTAATCCAACATGATTAAAATGGAGAGAAAGGATGCCACGCTAGCCCTGTCCTTTCTATGAATTGAAATACTTTCATTTGAAGTAGGATTCAAGCTGTCCTTATAGAGGCTTACCCCTTCTTGAGTAATGTGGAACCTAGAAGATCATAATGATCTACTTGTTCTGCAGATTCTCTCTCCAACTCCTGAAGGAGGCAGAAGAGAAGAACTCACATGCTCGTCCGTCTACCCTTCATTCTGTTTTAACTGTGTGGCTGATTAGGAGGCTCAGAGCATCATCAATGTCCTGTCAGTATGGGGAGATCTCAAGGGCATTCCGTAGGCTGGCTCAGTTGGGCATGGATGAGAAAGAATTGTTTTGAAATATTCATTTCAGAAGATGAGAGAATCTTGGTGACTTTCTCACGGATGGTGTCTGGTGTTCTGGCAGTTAATTACTTGCTCGCACAACAGTTGCACGTGAATGTCCTGTCTTCTTATATAGTCAATGAATAAAATGGTCCTTTAGCACCCTGAGGATCAGGTAGAAGAACAGAAACCTCTTTCATCGGGGAAGAAAACTTCCCAAGAAATTACAGTGCAGAGAGATGCAGGCTGGGGCAAGTTCTTCTATGACATTAATCCTGCCTTCCTAGGCTTCTACATTTTAATACATTAAACCCTATTAAAAGCCAATGTCTTCCTGCTGATGTTGACCAATGTTGTTTCATTATATTCTTAGCTCTCCATTCTTTGACCAGTTGGGAAAGAAAAATACAGATGTCACATCAATGGCCCTTGTTCCATTAAAGCACATTGATTTATTTCAGCCAATTGCATCAAGCTTAAATTAACCCAATAAGCATTTTGAGGAGATCTGCCCCTTGCTTGCGAATGCATTTTATTTCATACAAGTGGAACCTATGCCAAAAATGTCAGTTGCTCTCTGAAATCTTGTGATGTTGGTGGGGAAAAGGCAGAACTGATCTGGGCACTGATGAGGATCAGGAAGATGAAAAGTTGAAATTTTGAGTAGGGAATTGGTAAGAAGTCATCATTGGTAGAAGATGTAGTCCAAGTGCAGCACATTGATACCGTGGAATATTTTAAAGCCGAGTAAATCTCCTCCCACTATCTATTGCAGTGTT